GCTTCTCCACAATGTTACAGTTTTTGACTGGCATGTCTCTTTGACTAGTGCATTTTTTGAGCCTATATTTAGTATAAGTAAAATACTTAAGTACTGTTAAAATCAGATACTCTAAGACTTTTACTCAAGTTGTTTTGGAATTGGTGACTTGTAACGTGTAGTGGAGTAATTTTCACTGTAAGGTATCTGTACTCTTACTCAAGTATGGTTTTTAGGTACTCTTTACACCTCTGGACACCCCTGATCTAAAGTGTACATATCAGTACCTAAATGGTACATATTAGTACGATTTAAAAGGGTACCACCCAAGGAACAGCTTTTGATGGGTTTTTTTTATATACCTGTTTGACTCGTGGTCACAATAACGAAATTTTGCGTGCTAAAAAGGTCGATTGTTTATTGTCAGTAGTGTATCAATGTATGAAGCTCACAGCTCACATTGAATTCACATAATCAACCCGATGTGAAATCTGTGCAAATCTGACGCAAATTCGCGATTGCACAGATTCTTTTTTTAAGCTTTATTTATGGGCTTTTTATTCCTTTATTATTCAGATGGACTGTCAAGAAATGAAAGGAAAGCATTGGGTAGAGAGAGGGGAGCGGGATTGACATAGGACCTCCAGACAGTAATCAAACTCGGGTCATCTTACAGTTACGTTGTATATGTCGGTGCACTAACCACGAGGCTATCGGTGCCAATGATTGCATTGATTCTTCCTGAAATTAGTGTATTTCGACGGCAAAAATTCAGTAGAAATGGTAAATGTGGCCACACCTTTATGCATTAGATTTGCAACTTTTATAAGGCTATAGTAGAGAGAGGACAGGAAATAATGGGGAGAATAGAATCAGAAAATGTTGCGAGTCGGATTCAAACTTGCAGGTCCGCATGAGCACCAAGGCTCTGACATATACAGTGCTCCCATGATACTTAACTGTATTTTGTGTGCAGTTTTCACTTTACCACTTTAAATCCCCACTGATGTGCACACACACATACACACACGTGCACTCGTTGAATGTGTTCTGTCAGGATGGTGGTGGATGATGAATGCTTCGTGGTGAGAGCGAGCTGAATGTTGTTTTTTTTTCATAGATACTTTCACACACGCTTGCACACACACATTCACATTTAGATTCGCACCCTCTCACAACCCGGCTGAGATCAGAAACGTTGGCCTACTTGCTGTTTTGTTGTAACCTCATTTATCATTTCTTATTTCGCCATCCCTGAACTCCCAGATTGCGCTGGTACGTGCTGAATTTCTCTCTGGCGCGTTCAGCGAGGTGGTCGCGGGTCACCTGAATTTATCCGGACAGAAGTGAAGGTTGTTTCCTGCTCTCATGACCTTTTCTCGTTCTCTTTCCAGGAGCGTTGGCTCAGCGCGTGAGGGTGGAGCCAGAAGTCGTGTCATATCCTGGTCAGGCAGTGACACTGCGATGCCAGTTTCCGAACCCAGGCGAAACCCAGCTCACTCAGGTCTGAAATCAACTGTTTCCTGCCAAACAATGTACAAGAGTTTGTAGAAAGAACTTGTTCGCTGGGGTCGTAGCAAGAACTTTCTGAAAGCATTTGATGTGCTGGAAGTGTTGGTCATCATCCAAATTGATTTTGGATTTGTTTTCTTTGGCATGCAGGTGTCATGGATCTTTGAACGGACTGACACAGAGCGAACCAACATTGCAGTTTTCCATCCAAGCTTTGGGGTAAATTACCCAACAAAATCCCCTGTAGCAGGACGTGTCAGATTTATATTAGATCCGCCCACTTTGGACAACCCATCCATTCAGATCAGCAATGTGAAGATGACCGATGAGGGCCGATATATCTGTGAATATGCCACCTACCCCTCTGGCAACGAACAGGGCGTCTCTTCGCTGGTCATGCTGGGTGAGTATGAGTTTGTGCAAAGTCCCTTTCAAGGAAAGTCCGTTCACTTGGCTGCCATATTTGCAACGCCTCCGTGCAGCTCAAACAAGACCAAGTCCTATCTAAATGAATGGGGAATCCTGAAATCTCAAAAATTGCTCGCTGAACTTGCTATTTAAATGACATATTTCAAATCAGCAGCAAAATCTGAAATGAGCAGCCCCATGAATGTTGTTTCTTATGCTCAAATAGCATTTAAAAAGCGTATTTTTCAGGCTAGACCAGCCAATGCGCATACGTAGTTCCAATGCGCTTATGACTGTGCATGCGCATCGGCTGGTCCAGCCTCAGGTTTCTATGGGAACCGGAGCTTCTAATGACCGCTGCAGTGATGCAATGACTTTACCAATCAACGATTGGCTCTTTCATTTAGAAGGCGGGACTATCCCGCCATATTGCGTGTTGCAGTTTCTTCCATTCATAAGTATAGGAGTGAACTGTCTTTGTATTTCTATAGTTTGCAAATTGTTTATTGAAGAACAAGACATGGAATATTTTTTCTTCAATAAAATAAGGAGGAAGTTTAACTTTAAAAATCTGATTAGTTTACTGTTTTTCAATAAAAATCAAAGGGGAATTATATTTTTTATATCCAGTTATTGGAAAGATGTGTAAAAAACAAAACAAAAAAATTTAGTTTTTTACATGATTAATTGAAATATGTACATTTTCCTAATATAATACAGAAAAATAGGAAAGGAAATTTTTAATCCAACTAATTCCAATCCAAATAAAAATTTATTTTAAAAATCCAAATAATTTCTAAATGAATAAATCAACAAAATCAGGAGGAGAATTGGGCATTTTTATATCTGATTATTTGCAGTACTAATTGACATACAACATTATTTTAAATAAAATACTGGGGCAAATGGCTATTTTTACAAATAATCAAAATTGTAAAAAATAATTGACTTTTGTGAATTTAATTGTAGGAGACTGAAACGATAAGTGACAGCTTGGATCAATTATGAAAATATTTGTCAGTTGCAGCCTTAGTCTGTTTTAAAGAATATGTGTGTAATCAGACTCACGCTCACGTCTGTGTCTGTTTGCGGGGCTTAAAGGGGATTTATAAATGGTATTGTCAGATCAATTGTGCTGCTGTTAATGTGTGTGAAATGTGGCAGTAACCTTGGCCGGGCTCTCGCTCGCTTGCCCCCTCCCTCCTCTCTCTCCCTGCTATTGATCTGCCTGCTTATCATGCTGAGAGGCCGTCGCTTCCCTGTCGTTCCCCGTCTCCCCTGCTTTTCTCCTTTCCCTCTCTTTGATGTCTTTCTTAGAGTGAAACGTGAGTACAATGTGAGCGCTGTGCTAGCGTGTGGCAGGACAAGCCGAGCTGTGATCTTCCCGTCTCCACTTCCTCCCCTCCTCCTCTCATCTTCCCTTACCCTCCTTCACATTATAGCATCAAATAAAGGTCAGACTCTCTCTCTTTCCCACAGCTAAACCGAAGAACATAGCTACAACTGTCACAGTTACCGCCGGCAAAACCCCAGTCATCGTGGCACGCTGTGAATCATCCAATGGCCGTCCTGCAGCGACCATTTCTTGGTCCACAACGCTTAACGGAAACGTGACGACGCCGATCACAACGGACAATCCGGATAATACGGTCAGCGTCCAGAGTGCCTACATGCTGGCTCCGCAACCGTCGGATAATGGCAAAGACATCAGCTGCGTGGTGTCACACCGTACCATGCCCCAACCCGAGACCTTCCCAATGAAACTTGTTGTTGAATGTAAGATTTCAACCAGACCATTAAATACACCAGAAACTACTGATCCAAATGCTGTTATGCTTAGCATTTCCTGTTGCTATAGCTGAGAATTGCTTTAGTGAGTCATGTCTCTATTGGTCCTGGCCGGTAATGTGTCTACACAATATGCCAGACATTAGTAACGGCCATCAAGCAAATTACCCTGAGGCTTTACAGTGCTGCTTGGACCAGAAACACAAAATAAGGGTCAGTGAGGTCATTATGGAGTCAGCTGATCAATGTTCGATTTGTCCAAGACTTCAGTGGCTCAAAGCTAAACTCATTCATAAAGGCTAGTTGTTCGATCCACCTATTTACTCTGTCTTTTTCTTTCTGTCAGATCCTCCCCGGGTGCAGATCAAAGGGTATGATAACTGGTACAGGGGTCAGACAAGTGCATTTTTGACCTGTCAGGCAGATGGAAACCCCGTCCCCACCACCGTCACCTGGAAAACGTGAGCATTTCTTTTCACTTTCAGTTCTGATTTTTCTTTCCCATTAGCCAGGTTTACACTGTAGATTTTCAGGCCACATTTTACCATATTTTAAAGATCGTTAAAGACTTCATTGGGCAAAATGTCCAGTCTTTGATTGCTTCATGCAGGGTTTTCCAGTCCTGCTCCTGGAGGCCCACTTTCCTGCATAGTTTGGCTCCAAAACAACTGCCGGCAATTTTCTAGTGTTCCTGACTGGTTCAGGTGTGTTCAACGTTGTCCAATCCTGCTTCTGGAGGGCTGCCTTCTAGCCGAATTTAGCTCCAATCCTAATTAAACACACCTGAACCAGCTAATCTAAGTTTTCAGGATCACTAGAAGCTTCCAGGCAAATGTGTTGGGGCAGATCGAAGTTAAACACAGGACACTGGCCCTCCCGGAGCAGGGTAGGAAAATGAATTATGGAGGTTTTGGCAGTCTGAAATTTTGCATGCAGTTTGATGGCTGAACTTATGAAAGTCAAAGGGATGATTGGGACCAAAGTCTTGGCTACGCTGTGTATCATTGATGTTGCCACAGTGTGCCTTGGCATTTACTCAAAAATCTCACTGGGGTCATATTGTATAGTCTGACTAAATTGTAAAAATCGAAGTGTGCACTCGGCTTAAGATAATGACAATAAACCACCTATTGTCCTTTGATGAAGCCTCTGATGCAAATTGCACACAAAAATGGAAAGCACGTTCTCAATCTGGCGCCCTTTATTCTGATTGGCTGGCTTTGACACAAGTTCTGGGAGTAAGGACCCTCATCTAAACAGCATAAAAACATAAAATGTGAGTCAGATGGCTTCTTCTAAGTGGGCGGTTCTTGGCCAGAATAAGCTACAAAGTGGACCAGACTTTATGCTAGTAGTCAGTAGGTATTTTAAGCTTCGTTTCTATCAGAAACACTGTGCTAATGTTGTCTGGTTTTTGTCCCTCAGTTTGTCTGGACTGATGCCTGAAACGGTGCAGGTGCAGGAAAACCGGCTCGCTGTGCAGAAAGTGGATGACGCCATCAACACCACCTTCATCTGTGAGGTCAGAAACAGTTTGGGATACGGCAGAGATCAGGTCACCGTCTTCGTGAGGGGTGAGTCTGTCTATATAGTATTTCATTACAGGTTCCTCACACATTTCCACTAGGGTGAGTGTGAGGTGGTGACAGGGGCAGCAGTTGGAAAAATGAGACCTAATTTCAGACAAGCAAGGGGTTACAGTTCAGACATAAGGCAGTTTGTTGGCACTTTTCTTGTCTGTATGTGTTTTGTTCATCATTCTATTTGTCCTCAAGATCACCCCGCATGCACTGTCATCCCTCAGCCTTCAGCTGTTCCTGACTCTCTGGTGGCGTATTTTACTTTAGTCTGAGACTTTCTTGATCTGGTAAAACATGTCTGAAAATGCGACACATTTCCCATAGAATTCTGAAGGATGTTTTCTAAAGAGAGGAGTGTGTGAGTGTTTGCGATTGCAGATGTGACTGTATTTGGGTGGTGTTGAGCCCAAGTCATAGGTTTTCACAAAAATGTCGAAAATTAGTTAGATGTTGCATGCATGCTGTAAAGGCGATTTCACAACACAAGCTATGCACAAGTTTATGTTGTGTATATAGCTTATTCTCACACATTGGGTCTGTACATTTTTTTTTCATGCTTTTATGCTCACCAAGGCCACAGTCAGTTAAAATGGTAATATTGTTAAATAGTATTAATTTAAAATGTAATTTATTCCTGTAATGGCACAACTGAATTTTCAGCAGACATTACTCCAGTCTTCAGTGTTACATGTTCCTTCAGAAATCAATTTAATATGCAAATGTGCTGATCAAGTAACATTTTTATTTTTATTATTATCAATGTTGAGAACAGTTTTGCTATTTAATATTTTGTTTAAATCATGATATATTATGATCATTTGATGAATAGAATGTTTAAAGGAGCAGCATTAATTTGAAAAATAAATCTTTTGTAACACTTTTGATTAATTTATTGCATCCTTGCAGGATAAATATTAGGTATTAAAGTATAGTAAATATGAATTTCTTAAAAAAAAAAAAACTTTTAAACAGATATGTTTGAGTAAGCTACTGCACCCTCTACTATAATGGTTCACTATCAGGTTTTTACCCAGCATAATATGATTGGATTATATAAATCAATTGTATTCTTTCTACATTTCTATTAAAGGGGTCATATGATGCTTTTTTAAAGATCATTATTTTGTGTATTTGGTGTAACAGAATATGTTGACATGCTTTAATGTTCAAAAAACACATTATTTTTCAAATACTGTACATTATTGTAGGTCCTCTATGCCCCGCCTCTCTCAAACGCTTCGTTTTCTACAAAGCCCCCTCCTTTGACAAGCGCTCTCGCTCTCTCTCTCTCTCACACACACGCGCGCACGCACACACGATGCGCAAAACTCCGCATTTGAACAGTCAATAGCAAATACTTAAACTAATAACAAAACAGTAGCTGATTCTGAAGCGCCAGATTGTCATAGCAAAGGCAGAATGACCTCTTCTCCTAGGTTCACGAAACGGTCGTCCATAAAATGCATTGCTGTTCTGTTGTAAGTGATCCAAATAAAGTGCTTTTGCTTTCGCACTGAAACACACAGCGTCTCCCTGACATGCTGCATCAACACTACTGCTGTTCCTGAAACCACGCCTTCTTTCTTTGCGTGATCATTTGGGCGCATTATGCAAATATTTCCACATGGTGATGTAGATATGTGGGGGCGTGTTAGAATGAGCCGTTTTAGGGGGGCGTGGCAGTCTTAACTTTTATAAAGAATATCTCTTTGGTTTTGAGACTTTAGTCTTTGCAACTTCAGGGATCTTATCTATGCACAATCAGCTTGTAACACTCCAAAGAGAAAGGAAAACTTGAAATCGCATCATATGACCCCTTTAAAACAAGAGTTAATATTTTTTCCATCATATTTTCATCCATCCATTTGATCCAACTGGTCTTTATTGACAAAATCAATACATTTTAGGCATTCTTTTTTGATTGCATTAAGATTTTTCAGTTTTTTGACTGTATTATCACTGATGTTCAGATGGGTGTGGGTTGGATTTGTGACCCCTGGTTAACTCCTCCTGCCTGTCCCAAAGTTTCATGACTAAAGCGAGCGCCACAGTACGTTTGATGGCCGTCATGGGATGCAAAATTGTCCTCTCCAAGCTTTTTCTGGCCCATTCTGATGTCCTGTGACAGGCTGATGGAATAAAATATCCACATGGTTGACTGCGGAGGAACTGAGCTGCTTTAGTGCTGAGCAAGACTAATAGCTCTTAGGTAATGTGGAGGAAAGGTGCTTTTCTCTCACAACTTGGGTTTTAAAAGCCTTCTACCTTTCTCCATTCCCCTTCGCTTTCCCCTCTCTCTCTTGCATATACGTGTCCTTGCAGATCAGTGTAGCTTGAAGGCAGATCTTTGCTTATTTGGAAAAAGTACATTCCCCTACCAAACACTAAACTGACAACATCTTGCCTTCCCTCCTCTTTTGGTTCCTCCCATATTTTCACGGAGTGAAAGCAAGAGAAAAGGACCAGCAGGAAGAGACAGAACCAAGAGAGGAGGGTGGAGCAGATGAACGCTGGTGGCATTTCTACCCCCTTGGGAACCTACGGCTCTCCCATCGCACGTGCATCCTTTCACTCACCTCCTCTCTTCCACTCACATTACTTTCATCCTCTTCGCTTCAAACTCTTTTGTTTTGTTCGCCTGAACCACTTCTGTGCCTTCCAAACCTGCTACCCACCCTCCTTCTCCAACCATCTCCTCACAAAAGAGGCTCTTGGCGAGGATAAGTCAGTCACTGCTGTTTCAGCTCCCGGCCTCTTATACTCCTGTCAAAGGAAGAGCGGAAGGGCAATGCTAATCAAGACCGTAATGCAAAGCCAGCCTGTGCAGTGTGTGTGCGGACAAAATTTGTTGTGTTCAGTTGGTGTTTGTGGCGTGTAGTGTGAGAGTCAGGTGCAAGAGGAGATATGTTCCGTGGAGCGCCGCGGGAAGTGTTGCTTAGCCATGAAGTGGTTCTGCTTAAGTGCAGCCGTTTTGACAGCCATGAAATGGCCACTACCTTCTCAGTCGCGTGGCTGTCTTCGCCCCAGGCAGCCATCTCCATGGTGACTAAGGTCGGCCCGCACAGATCTTGTCTCGGTGTTCCTCCTGAAAGCATGAGAGCGGTACAAAGATACCTTGGAGCATGTTTTGTAGCTCCACCACTAGAGCCAGAGCCGGGAATCCAACTACGAATCCAAATCGTTTCTCAACACTGTGCCTCATGTTGCTCTCAAGCTAAGCTAGATTCAACCCCCACTTCTCTCTCTCTATCTATATCTCTCTCTCTCTCTCTTTCTCTCCTCCATCATTCATTTTCAACTCTGGAGATTCTGTCATGTTCTCCATCCAGCTGTCATGGAAAAAAATCTCCTCCTCTGCCTTGTTCTGCTCTCTCTCGTCCAATGGTGTGACAAAAAAAATTAAAAGAGAATGTGAGGCATTCAGAGACATTTTTCCCCTCTCGTCTGTCAAGGAAAGCTCAATGAGCTTCATTCATCCACTCAGCCATTCACTTAGTGAGTCTTTCAGAGCACTAATATGTAAGTTTATTAATATACTGCCAGTACTTAGAGAAAGATAAAGAGACTACATTAGTGGTAATACAATATAATTAGTGGTGTTCACGAGCCAGTATCACTTTTAACTATTGCTCATGCTTAAAAGGATAGTTCACCCAAAAATGAAAATTCTGTCATTAATTACTCACCCTCATGTTGTTCCAGACCTTTAAGTCCTTTGTTCATCTTTGGAACACAAATTAAGACATTTTTGATGAAATCTGAGAGCTTTCTGACTCTCCATAGACAGCAATGCAACTGACATGTTCAAGACCCAGAAAGGTAGTAAGGACATCATTAAAATAGTCCATGTGACATTAGTGGTTCAACTTTAATTTTATGAAGCTACGAGAATACTTTTTGTGCGCAAAGAAAACAAAAATAACAACTTTATTCTTCTCTTCCAGTCAGTCTCCACTGCCATTCACGAGAGTATCACGACGCGTGCGTGTGCATTCCTGTGCTTGTAAACAAGCCACAGCACATCCGGATTCTACCTCAGATTCTACATCTATTTTAACAATGTCCTTACTACCTTTCTGGGCCTTGAAAGTGGTGGTTCCCTTGCTGTCTATGGAGGATCAGAGGGCTCTTGGATTTCATCAAAAATGTATTAATTTCTGTTCCAAAGATGAATGAAGGTCTTACGGGTTTTAGAAGGACATGAGTAATTAATGACAGAATATTCATTTTTGGGTGAATTATACCTTTAAATGGATATTTCCCCCAAAACCGTTACTGTCATGTCATTGCAAACTTATATGACTTATTTTCTTTTGTGAAACATAAAAGATATTTTAAAGAATGTTTTTTTTTTAAATTTACAATGAAAGTCAATGGGGTCCAATAAATCAACAATGAACCCCTCTAACTTTGTATTAATATGAGGATGGGTACACAGGAATTTTATTTTAATGAATTGATTCCTTGAAGCAATTTTTAACAGAAGTAGTGGTAGATCTTTTCTGCCATTATGTGACATACATCTGAGTGAAATGAATTATCAGGAAAAATATAGGGCACAGACTTGTGCTGTGCATCGGTTGATACAGAAATGGAATCAGATCTGAATGTGAACTTGTAGTCGACTGTAAAAAAGGGGTGGGGTTTACGCAGATTAAATGATGGGAGAAATCCAGCATAGGACACCAGAGAGAAGTCTGTCGTGTCACTGGAAGGTCAAGATATTACATTTTGATGGTAAAATTACAAGGTCAAGCTAATTTTTAAAAATGAAACATGCATGGATGAATTGGAAAATTCAATGAATTTGAAAATTTTAACTTAATGCCGACTTTAAGCTGCCTCTTTCTTATGGGACAGAAAATTTACGTAAAATATTCCTAAGTCTTTCTCGGTGGATTACAGTTTAGTCAAGCAGTAGGTAATATTTATTACATTTTTATTTTATTTTAAATATTGCTTATGAGAAATTTGCTACTTCTTGATCTTTGTCTTCTTTAGAAACCACTCTGAACACCCTAGAAACCACATAACATTGTGCTGAAAACAGCTCGGAGCACGCTCGTGTGCCAACACCCTGGCATTGTGACAGTGGCTTCGGCATGGGCAAGCACTCCTTTGTGGCTGTTTCTGAGTGTGAAATCTTCCCCTAATGAAGCCATGTAGATCTGTGGGTGTGTGTGTGGCCGCTATATGATCAGACTGTCATGTATAATTCAGAGGACTCGGGCAGGCAGTGAGAGATTGACTCGAAGATCAGAACAACACGCTCACTCTGACTGAAACAGTGGGAGGTAGAGGTGTATGTGTGGGAGAGAGAAGTACGCCACAGTGGGTGGCTAACGGGAACACGGCGACTGAGGCAGTCAAACATGATTGTGTTCCTGTTGTTTCTGCCGTTAGGTGTTTCTGTGCAAGATGCACAAGAAAAACCTATGACAATCAATGAAAAATGATAGAGTTCGAGATCATGATGTTTATTTTGGGTGTTAACACATGCACTGCTCTCTTTCAGCAGTGCTAGTCATGTCTTCGCACACTAATTTCATCTCGTACACGCATTCGCCGGGCACTGAGGAAGAAGCTGTGCGCTGTTGTGTGTTTGAGGCTTCAAGGCCGATGCGTCTGTCTGCTGTCTCCCCTGTCAATCACAGCCTCCTCTCTTACGCCTTCCTTCCTCTCATCCATCCGTCTATCCATCCATCAACCAGCCATTCGTCCCTTTGTCCATCATCCTCTCTTTTCTGTTTTATGTGAGGCTGCATGCTGGTGCTGTATTTCCTTCTTTATTGTGCAGTTGTACACTGTAAAAAAAAATTCTGTAGTTTTTACAAAATAATTTTGGCAGCTGTGGTTGCCAGAATAATTTTGTAAAAAATACAGAAAAACTGTAAACACATTTACGGTATAAAAATAAATTTTACAGTATAAAATTGTAATTTACAAACAAGAAAATTTGAATGTAAACCAGTAAATTCAACAATGCACACTGCTATTAAAATCTGTTTTGTACCTTTAACATACTGACAACCGCCATAATAATGCAGGTGGTAAAAGAGAAAGCCACATGAAGAATCAAAGCTCATCACAAGTAGCTTCGCCACAAGCAGAAGTATATACTAATATATAGAAGGTTCACAGAGTCATTCATGCAAACACAAAACACCATCATGGTAACACACATGATACTTAAATAATGCATTAAACTTTCATTAAACAACAGAAGATGTAACATAAAGCCCAAATATACATAACTAATAACAAAAACTATTTAAAAAAACATGGTTATTTAAACAAAATACTTTCAAATGTGGAGTGTCATGCAGGGAATTCTGGGAATATCAGTTTACGGTTTTTGACTGTAAATTATACATTGATTTGTTATTTTTACTTCTAAAAACTGTAAAATTAACAGCATTTTACTGTAAAATTACATGAAATGTCTGGTTAGATATTTTACAGTTTTTCCCTGTATATAGTACAGGAACTTACTGTTAACCTATTAACAGTTTTTTTTCCGTAGCGTTTTTACTAAATTTTACAGTTAAAATTACACTTATTTTTTACAGTGTAAGTGTGAATGCTGCAAACTGGCCTTATGGAAAGCCGTTCCCCTTAAGGAATTGCACAGAAATGTCACCATCCCACATGCATTCACGTGATTAAACATATACACACACATTTGCATTTAAACACAGACTGGGTGTGAGGAACTGGATATAATTTCCCCCCGTCTCGTAAAGATCCCATGAAATCACTTAGAGAATGTTGACATATTTCCTATTGCGTGAATGATTTAGTGTTTTTTTTTTTTAATGCATCTTTTAAGTAAACAGATTGTTCTTGTTTTACTTCCATGCACTCATTTTTTTGGAGGTGGGGGATGGACATACTAAACAAATTCACTTTTCACTGAACGAGCCACTGTTTTGGGTCTTAAAGGGTTAGTTCACCCAAAAATGAAAATTCTGTCATTAATTGCTCACCCTCGTGTTTTTCGAAACCCGTAAGACCTTCATTCATCTTCAGAACACAATTTAAGATATTTTTGAGGAAATATGAGGGCTCTCTGAGGGCTCCAAGATGATCGACAAAGTAGTCCGTGTGACATCAGTGGTTCAACTGTAAAGTTACGAAGCTACGAGAATACTTTGAATGTGGTAGTTACCTTGCTGTCTATGGGAGGGTCAGAGAGCCCTCATATTTCATCAAAAATATCTTAAATTGTGTTCCGAAGATGAACGAAGGTCTTACGGGTTTGGAACAACATGAGGGTGAGTAATTAATGACAGAATTTTAATTTTTGGGTGAACTAACCCTTTAACTCTGGGAGTCATTTAACGAGTCATCATATGAACGAACTGAATGAACTAACGCACACAGTACACAGTGTGATTTACTGACCGACTGAATGAGACGGGCATGGCGTTTGTTCAGTTTGGCATGCAAGTCTTGTTCACAACAAGTAGAGGAAAAGGGTTGTAAGAATTATTCATTTGTAAAATATGTATACACATTTTCTAACAAAGGATAATAAGATTTTTTGGTGTCTGTTAGCGAATTGGTTCAGTTAATTTTTTATTGACTTAAAAGATTCAAGTCACTTAAATAAATAAAAATGTCCGCCATCATAGGACATATCGAAAGACTTGTATCATTATCATGAACCATTTTTTTTTGTACTTGATCGGACAGGAATCTGTTTAGAACATGAGGAGTAATCAGTAATTGTCTGCTAAAATATAGGCTTCAAATATAATACAGATGGACTATAAGCCACTAATTGGAGTTTTCATTGGGTCTTTAAACATTTGACTTCCATTTCCTTTCCGTGAATCTAATTCTGTTTAATTCTGTTTTTCTTCCTTTTCTCTCTTTTTTTAACCTTTCTGCCTCTAGAACAACCACCTCCCCCCTCAAACGCGGGTGTGATCGCAGGCGTGATCTTCGCGTGTATTCTGGCCGTCATACTGTTAGGTGTCCTCATCTACTTCCTGGTATTCCATAATCGCCGCCAACAGCATGGTTACCGTGGCACCGGCAAGCCAGCCGGTGCTCCCTACGACTCCTTTACCCGCCTCTTTGGATCTGCCAAATCAAGCAAAAACGGCACCGGAAACAACGGAAACAACAACACGCCCATTTACAGAGGAGAGGTGGGGCTTAACGAGAAAACGACCAATCAGGGCATGCACCCGGGGGGCGTGGCTTTGCTCGAGACCACACACACTCACACAGCGGAGGATATCCTGCTTAGTAGAGAGATGGACGAGGTAGAAAGGAAGAAATTCGATGAATTGGAAGAAGAAGATGAGCGATATGATCATTTTGGTGGGGGCGGACCCATCCTTCAGCTCCGCCCACACGTTGATGACCTAGATGATGACATGGAGTCCCAGAGGGACGGCTCCGTGATTTCTCGGACTGCAGTCTATGTGTAAGAGGAGAGCAGAAAGAGGTTCTAGGAGGGTGTTCGTGGACCTCTTCCAGAAGGATTGAATTTCTTCCTCTTAACGAATATTCATTTTATTGTGAAAACAAATTATGGCATCAAATACCATGAGAGAAGGATTAATGGATGGATTGAGTTAATGAATGGATGAATTAATATGCTGCATATAGCACAGATTAAAACATTGAAGGATCGGATGAAGTAAATAGAGACTACTAATTACAGGACTGTCAGGCTTCCATTCCTAATTATTGCTCTGGTTGTCATGGTGACACATTCTGAGTAATACGAAACTGCAGATGTTGACACTGCGCGATATATATGACATGCACACACATGAAGTTATATATGTAAATCCACTGTGCTGTTGTGTAATAGTTTTAACTTGTTCTTATTTACTATCGATCATGGTTTCACACTTAAACCGGTTTCAAACTATGAACTGAGTTTGGGTAGAGCACATTCCTCAGCCCTACATCTCTGAGGAAGCTGTACCTTGCATATTGTGTAGATTTTGAAGAAGAGTCAAATGTGCCCAGTGCTTTTGATCTGTTATACACTCAGTCATGTCTAATATTAGTAACTAGCCACGCCTCTGTGGCCTTCCTTCCTGTAAATTCATCCTCACATGCTCATCTGTCTCGAGATGACGTGCACAGTTCACTCATTATACAGCACTCAGTATCTCAATCCCGTGACATGACTCACCAGTGAATCATTCGGTTTTTCGGGGCTAATCAAATCAAATCAAACATTAGTAAATGGTGTGTTCGTTCTCACCCACAATCCATTTAGTCAGGAAAAGATGAGTTCAAGGCAGCGCTTTTTACCGATTTCCTTGTACAATTTCCTTATGCATTCAGTCGTAAAACAGTGTAGCAGAGCGCTGTAGCAAAAAAAAAACAGCAAGTCAGGGTTACATCCTTTTTCACAGTGAACTTTAAACCCTGACGGAAAGGAAGAATTCGACTAAATTTATTGTAATATGTTACAGTTAAATTTAAAGGGATTGTGTACCACACATGTAACACTTTACAATATTGTTCAGTTTGTTAATATTGGTTTTAGTTATCATGAACCAACAATACTTTTACAGCATTTATTAATCTAAGTTCATGGTAATTTATTAATATACTATCGTTCATTATTAATGTTTGTACATAATACACTCACTAATGTTGATTTATAAACTTGAAAAGTAAAAAATGTCCAAATTGGCATTATTAACCAACATTAATAAATGCTGTGGATATATTGTTATATTATATTATATTGATATAAAAGTCAGTATAATGCATTAACTATTGCTAATGAGTTCAATCTTATTGTAAAGTGTTATCAACAAATCTATATTTATAACTATAACCCAAGTCCAGGGTTACCATGGCCACGCAGCTAAATATACCTCTCCTCAGACACCACAGTTTGCATCGCATACTGTTATTTCCTTGTTTTATTATCGTTCCTCTCAGCCGGTGAGATATACTGCCTTGTTTAATGGGAAATAAAATGAAGAAGCTGAGTGAAAGATTGTGCGTATTGTTCGATGTGAGGTGATTGTAAACTACTGTATGTACACATTTTATTTTTCTTAAAAATGAAAAAATCTATACTTCTAAATGTTGTAAATACGGAGACGGGGCGAGGTGAATATCCAGGTCGAATGTTGCGCATGTCAACCACGGCTCTGTGCGTACAGTACTATATGAGAGCACATATCACATATTTACATCCGCGATCTAGTATCAAAACACATTCACATGGGGACGCTTTCAATGGGGTGTAGTTGGAGTGTGTGTGTGTGTGTGTGTGTGAGAGAGAGAGAGTCAGCGTGTTAAGTGGTGTCTGACTCGAGGGCAGTGAGTTATTCCTCCAGTCTCTCAGGGTCTCACACACGAACACAGTGTGATTTAAACTGGACATCACACACACACAGACACACACGTATTCTTTCTCCCTCTAAATCATCTGTCAAACCAACTGCCCTTGAGTCTATAAGTGTCCGTCTCTTCCGAGGGCATAGTGGGTACCGTAGTGTTGTTTTCCCTGGGCTTCTGTCTTGATTCAGTGACCCTATTAGTGCCACGTCTGGATCAATGCCGCTGAAAGAAGTTGTTCTCACCTCTGAAAGGGTGGTCAGTCTGACACGGGCCGCTCCGATCCGTCTGGCACCGAATAGGCCATGGCTTCGACGCTGCCTAGTTTACATCCTGATTGAAAGGTCAGACCGCGATCAGTGAATGTGTGAGTAGAGGAAGTGAATTTGTCACTCGTGCTCTGAGAGGCAGAACGCTTTAGCTTCTCATTAGAGGAGAACGCACTGACCTTCTAGCTCAACGTCTCCTCCAGGAATTCCGTAATGATGGAACGGATGCCTTGAGAATATTAAGGAAGTATCCTCTGCGATGGGAGACGGTTTAAGTAGCGGAGTTGAGAATATGGGATGTTGCGTTCTCCTCGATGCTGTCTTCCCTTGTTGTCTGGTTTAGATGTTCCACAGTCCTGGTAAACACATACACACGCACATTTAAAAGCCTTAATGTCACTGTCACAAACCATCCCTCCTGTGTATATAGTATAAATATATAAACATGATATTCATAAAGCTAAACGGTGATGCCACATCCTTGTGTATTGTACTTCACTGTTGTGAGCATGAAGGATACATCTTTTTTTTTTTTGAGTTAGTAATGCTTTATAATGAGGTTTAATTTTAATGCATTAGGTATCATGAAATAACAATTTTTACAGCATTTATGAATCTAATGTTAATTTATAAATATAGGCTACTATTGATTGTTCATAATACATTGGGTAATGTTAATTTATTCGACTTGAAATGTAAAAAATATATTCGTAAATGCAGAAATGAACATTAACCTAAATTAATAAATGCTGTAAAAATTTAAATTTTTTTGTTTCTTAATGCATTAATGTTTGCATATTGAACCATATTGTAAAATGTTAATGAGTTTTATATCAGTTGATTTTACTGTTTTTTGTTTTCTCTCGTTTTTTTTTTTTTAAACGATCTGTGCTTTAATTGTTTTTATTCTGAGTGATTTATTGATGCCTGTAACGTGTTTGTGCTATAAACTGTTGAGCAGCGCTCTCAAACTCTCATGGACACAAAAAACACATCTATGCTACTAAATGCTTTACCGCCTTGCGTTGCTTTTAGGTTTTATTTTGGTTGTCTGAATGTTTTCACAGTCTTTGTAATATTGTCTTTTTTTTATTTGGTTGCTTATTAAAGTCTTACAGATATTTGACGGTGTTCTTGGTTTGTGCTGAATGCTCTGGGGCTCAATCAAATCTCTCTTGTTTGGTTTTCCTGCAGTGTTTTTCAGGCTAGGTTGTGAATGTTCAGCTGTGTGTGTGTGTGTGTGTGTGTGTGTTGATAAGTCACCTGTCACAGATAACACCGCCGGCTGAAATAGAACTAAATGGGCTGTGCAAGAGAGCGACACATAAAGCGTCCACATAAAGCTCTATTTTTAACTTCTTTAGTTATTCTGGTTATGGCATAGTCTTGACGTTCTCGTTTTTATCCAGTTTCATTTAGGCAGATAAACTTAAGATAGTTAACCATAGTATTTTGTTGATGAGAGAGCAAAATTAAACCAATACAATGTTGTGAATGCTTTATGTTGTTAACATTACTGACAATTGAGTTTTCTTTTTTTTTCTTTTTTTTATTATTAGTTTTTCCCAGTCATATTTTCTTCAGTAGTTTATTTTAATTAAGCATGATAATGGTGCTCATGATTAATTTAATCTTTATTGATGATGAAATCAAAAACACCTTGTTATGAAGCATTTTGTTCAGTAAAATTTTTGTCATTATTTCCTCATTTTAGATTATTGTTTGTCCACACTTTCAGATGTACCGCTGCAACTACATAACAAAACAAACAAACTTGTTTTTATGCAAGTCAGAAATAAACCACATGCAATATAAAAAGCACAGGAATGTGGTTGAGTTCATATTCAAGTTTCTCCCCTTCAGGTTATAAAGTTGACAGCCTCAGCATAGTTCAGCCCGACAGGAACTCTGCTCTCAAAAAAGCCTCTTTGTTGACACAAAGGCAACAGATCTCATATCTCAACAGTTTAAAATTTAACCAAGAGCACACTTTGCAAAGGAGGGGGGAGTGAAACCGAAAGAGTTGGTGTCATAATAAAGGTATTCAGCAGGCAGAATTCCACTCAGTGCTGTGTGTGTGCATTAGCAGGTGACCCTGATAGAAATGTGCCTGTTAATGTAACAACAGACGTTTTCCTCCAGAAGTAGCTGTGCCCTAGATTCTGTCCTTTTTCTCCCATTCCCTCTCTTTCTCTTTCAGTTGACGGGGTCAGAATCTCGGTGCTCCTAGCACACTTGTCACTGTCGTTTGGAGTTGGAGGGGTTTTTTTTCTCGGCCATTTAGCCATCTGCCTGCTCTAATTGCTCTGAGTTGCAACCTGGAGTGAGGACCAGCTGCCGCTTTCCTCTCTTAGTTTGTCTCTCTCTCTCTCTCTTCCCACAACACTAGCTGAATGTATCATGCTAATAGCTTTATGTTACTGTGTAATGGTGTGTTCCACTTGTCCTGAGACACAATCATGGCCTAACACAGATGTGAACTTCAAGGTGCACTCGGTCATTTTTTTTCCTCAATGAAAACGATTCAGACTTAAAGGGATAGTGCACATAAAAATGAAAATTTGGTCATTTACTCTCTCGTCATTCCAAACCCTTATATTAGGAAGATTTACAGCGTTATTTAGTCAATTCACTTTCACTTTCAGAAAAATGTTTAAAATGATGTGAGAAGAGACTCCAGTCATATCAGTACCTTAATTAAAGCTGATTTATTTTATATGGAGCAGGCCACTTAATGGAGATCGTCATGCTGAGATCACATGACCAGCAGAATACTGCTAGCTTCAAGTAAATTTAGTATGGATTACTACTAATAGTGCATTTCTACAAAACCCTTATCGTATTAGGAAAAAAACAGTAATACTGTATGTCATTATAGTATAGTAGAGGTTTTACCATTGACAAATTCCTTTTGCAGAGCTCTTGAAAGCATGATATTGGTTTGAAATTTTTCCTTTCTGCTGCCTTTCACATCACAGGATAGTCAGTAAAGCCATCATCTGTATATCTGTATCTGCTACAATGACAAAAATATGTTTTGTATCCATATTCTGATAAAACCAGATGTGGGTTGGGGGTAATCCATAAGTGCATTAAATTATATTACAATCCTATTTTAAATAGTAACTCTATTTTATTCAGTGTACACCACTGTTTAAAAGTGTTGTACAGTAAAAACAGTAATATTGTTTTTAATTTAAAATTATTTTATTTGAATGCGTTTTAAAATGTCGCTTATTCCTGTAATCGCAAAGCTGAATTTTCATTACTCCAGTCTTCAGTGTCACATGATTCATAATAAATCATTCTAATATGCTGATTTACTGCTCAAGAAACATTTCCTATTATTATCAATGTTTAAAACCGCTGCACTGCTTAGTATTTTTGTGGAAATCCAGATTAACATTAAACATGTCTTTACTGTCACCTTTGATTAATTTAATGCATCCTTGTGAATAAACTTTTTAATTAAAGGTGGGGTAAGCGATTTTTCAAAAACGCTTTAGAAATTCGGGCCGACTAGCAAAACAAACTTGTAGCCAATCTGCAGTAAGGGGCGTGTCTACTCATGATGTGGAGGAGAGAGCGCTCAGTCCGAGCCGAGCGACAGAAAGATAGAGATGGCGGATAAAAAACAAAAGAGGAAAACGTCTGCGGAACAAAAGAAGGCTTGAGGCAATAAGGCAAGAAGTAGAACCCGTGTAATATTGGATCAGCTTTCCAGCGCTGGAGAGAACTCAAGGAGCGGAAGGCCTGC